AAATTTATGACAAAAAATATATTTATTATACTTTAAATACGTACTCTAGAAATAAAGGTTAAAAAAACCTTTTTACAATATTCATTCGGTTCATTTTTAATGGTTAAATGCTAAATTTGGTCCCTTAATAATTTTTTGCATTTTTTTGATCCCTCAACTATACGAAATGCACTCTATTAGTCCTTCTGTCAATTTAAGCCGTTAACTCGGTCATGTGGCATTTTTTGTATTTTTTTTTTATGAGATGGTGAGGACAACTTAAAAAGGTGTTGATTTGGACTTTTTTTTTGATGACATGTCATGTTCTCGTGCTAAAGCCCCTCCAATGGGTCTCACGTTGCCTGCAAACCACCAATAAAGAAAGGTTTGTGAACCCTAGAATGGTTTCTCATCTTCACTCTCTGCAAAATCAATTTAACTCATATTTTCTTATTCTTTGAATGCTCTCTCATTTCCATTCCATTTGCAAAATCAATATTAACCCATTTCTTCTTTTTCTCTAAATACTCTCTCATCTCCACTCTATCTACAAAACTGATCTTAACCCATTTCTTCTTCTTCTCTTTTCTCGGGGGAACTTGAGAAATTGACCAAATGCAAGGAATTTGTGATGAGATTTGCTCGAGTTAGGTTGCCTCCATTGCTAATGGGGCGAGTCCTTACAAAATAATATGTCTATGAACCCTAGAATGCTCCAAAGGAGAATTTGGAATTCTCTATCATTGAACCCAGCTACTAGGTTTTATTGAAACCTCAAACCTAGTAGATCTTATCAAATCAAATTAACCCTTCAATAAACAATATCAATCAAACTCTAATCAAATTCCAACAAAAATACAATCAAATTCTAATCAAATTCCAACAAAAATGCAATCAAATTGTAAATCAACTCCCAAATTTATTAACAACTGGGAATAGAAATCGAAAGAAGAATGAAAAAACATGAACCCAACATCAAAACAGCAAGGCTGGTTTGCGCGACCAACAAGGCTGGGTTCATTGAAACCCAGCCAATTTGGGTTTCGATGAACCCAACAAGGTTGGGTTTCGACAAAACCAGCAAGGTTGGTTCGCGTTACCAGCAAGGTTGGGTACATTGGAACCCAATCGATCTGGGTTTGACGAAACCCAGCCCTGGGTTCATCAAAACCCAACCTATTTCCACCTACCCAGGGTAGGAAAGAAAGAAAAGGAAGAAGAGGGATTGGAAGGGTGAGGGTAATAAGGTAATTTTATTTGTTTTTAATTAAAATATAAATATTAATCTACGTGACATTTTTATTTATTTATATAACATAATTATAGTATGTATTATTGCCACATCATCAAAAAAATTAAAAGATAATACCACATGAAATTATTTAACTGACACGTCATATATAACTGATGGAATGACCAAAATTGTGCAATTTTTAGAGTTGAGGGATAAAAAAAATGCAAAAAATTGTTAAGGGACCAAAATGTGTATTTCATAAAGTTGAGGGACTAAATTTAGCATTTAACCATTTTTAATAGATCTAGTTTTTTTTTTTCCATCTAACAAAATAAAAAAGGAAATAATTTATTGATAGAATTCATATTTATCTCTAATTAAATACCACTTAAATAAGATTTGTATTTAATATGTGTTGTAATTATCCATTTAAAATGAGGTTAAAATAGCAATAAACACATTAAATAATATTTTAAAAATAAAAATTAGATAAGTAAATTTGAACACACCAAATAGGAAACTAAATCTACTAAATTTGAATAGAGAGAGAAAACAATGAGAAAAATAAGAAGTATTTAAAAAAAATTATTAATTAGATAAATTAATTAAATTTAAAAAGTAATTTCTAAAGATTAATGAAATAAAATGTATTATTAATTAAAATAAAAAGTATATCACTATTTTATTAAAAAAGCCTATTACCTAAATATATGTATATTATATAATATTAATTAATTAATTTACAAAAATTTTAATTGATTAACAAAATATATTTTCACTTAAAACAAATGAAGTAAAGGCAAGAAAAAATACTTGTAAAGGGTGCAATGCAACGCAAGCCAATAACAAACGGTATCACGAAGTTAGTTAACGGAGGGCCTGAAATTTTACACCCAACGTCGTGGGGTTGGAGGGTTTATTTGTCATCTTTTTAATTTAGAGACTTGTCACCAGCTATTGAAAAAGTTGAGGGGCTTAAGAAAGGTTTTTGCCAAATATCCAGAAATGAACCGACGAAACCTTTTATTTTCCGTTTATGGAAGGAAAATTAAAAGGCTGATTTTATGTTCAAAGTAAATGACTTGAGATCTTCGCCGCTGTGTGAAACGAACAAAACCAAAAACGGAAAAGAAATATACCATCAGCCTGCCCGTCTGGCCGGTGTCCGGGTGCATTGCATCTCTAATCATTCATTCTACTTTCCTTCTCGGCACGCTCAGCCAAACCAACAGTCAGTCTTATAAATTTCCCTCTCTCTCGCCCGTTTCTCTGTTAAAAAAAAAACAAACAAACAGGCAAATGGCAAAGGCAATTCGATTCTTTGAGTTGAACACCGGGGCTAAAATCCCCTCCGTCGGTTTAGGGACATGGCAGTCCTCCCCTGGGGTTGTTGGTGAAGCTGTTGCACTTGCCGTAAAGGTATGTTCTCCTCCTTACGTAATATACAGGATGTGTATGGTATTCTAATTTTTTTCTGACGACCTAGATAAAGTGATTCGACATGATTTTCCTTTTTTTCTTTTTTTCAATAGAACCCTGGACTACAGTCCGTAAGAATTGAAACATCATGATTTGTGATTGTTTAATTTATTCTAATTACAATAGAACTTTACCAGACAATGTAATCTAACATCTCCCACCAATTTTTTTAGATAGATAATTCCCAAGGGCTTGTTTGGCTGTCCAACTGCCTGGATTATATTGTAGGGAGTTTATTTCGATTAAACATTATTTTATAGAATTCTACCTTCCGAGTAATCTATCTGGAAACAAACAAAGGGTATAATCGATTAAGCATACGTGAAGCCATGCATGTGCAACGGGGCGTGGGATCGGACAGAACTTTCCGTTTGGTTTCCTCTGCCTACCGAACAGCCCTTGAGAGAAGAGACAAGAACACGTTGTTTGACATGAGATAAGAAAATGATATAACTATAATGTTATGTGATTTTCTAAACTTATAATTAATATTCACTAGTATGATTGGATATTTTCATTTAAGAGATATTGTAACTATATAATTGTTGATTAAGAAATGTTGCTAGCACCTTTCTTCTCTTAGATTTTTTTTTTTCTTAAAAAAAAATTCCTGGAAAAATGTTGTTGATGGTGGAAGATAAAAGAAGTATCTGACTGTAGTTTTTTTTGGATGAAGGGTGGGTACCGTCATATTGATTGTGCTGAGATCTATGAAAATCAGAAGGAGGTACTCAACTTAACTTGATTTATAGCTAAATTTTCTTACTTGAAGCGCGAGTTCAATTGGAAATCTTAGTTTCTTAATTTTTTTTTATGTAGATTGGTACTGTGCTGAAGAAGCTGTTTGATGATGGTGTGGTGAAGCGCGAGGATCTTTGGATCACTTCCAAACTCTGGTTTGTGTCCATTCTTGTATCAGTTCAAAATCTACTTCATGTTCACTAGTTTGAAGTTTTTAAATAATCAAAATTTCAGTTTTCCTATTGGAAGTTTTTTAACTACAAGGACTTATAGAAATGGAGACTATTTTCTGCAGGTGCAACAGTCATGCACCAGAGGATGTGCCGGAGTCATTGAATAGGACTTTGCAAGACTTGCATCTCGACTACTTGGATCTCTTTCTGGTATATCTAACTCCATGTGTTTAATTCTTAACTTGTTTAAGTTGTCAGTAAAAAATATATCTTTCAGCTTTGCTCTTGGGTTTCCTAGTCTGTTTCTAAATCAAATTGATAGGGGTTGGAATAGGACTACATGAAGATGTTGAATTGTGAGTTGTGAGAACTGGCAAATTTCTGATTATGACCATCCTTTTATTTTTTTGTGATTGTTAAATTTTGAAGGTCCACTGGCCAGTTAGTATGAAAAAGGGATCAGTTGGTTTTGAGCCTGAGAACTTAACCCAACCTGACATTCCAAGCACGTGGAAGGCAATGGAGGCACTCTATGATTCTGGCAAGGCTCGAGCAATTGGAGTAAGCAATTTCTCTGTAAAAAAGCTTGGGGATCTCTTGGCGGTGGCTCGTGTGCCTCCTGCTGTGAACCAAGTTGAATCCCATCCCGTATGGCAGCAGCACAAGCTACATGAATTCTGTAAATCCAAGGGAATCCATATAACTGTGAGTATATATACATACCTAATGTAATTTAGTCTTCTGGGGTTCTCATATAATTACATCATCATATTTGTTATTTTATGGCAGTCTAAAAACATCTATAGTTGTTGTGCATTAGTAAAATATGACTTTTCTTTATTGCAGGGCTATTCACCCTTGGGTTCTCCGGGCACAGGATCCATCAAGACTGAGGTCCTTAAGAATCCTGTTCTTAGCAAGGTGGCGGAAAAATTAAGCAAGTCTCCTGCTCAAGTGGCACTTCGTTGGGGGCTGCAAATGGGTCACAGTATCCTGCCTAAGAGTACAAATGAGGCAAGGATCAAGGAAAACTTTGATGTCTTTGACTGGTCTATACCTGAAGATTTGTTTGCCAAGTTTTCTGAAATTGAGCAGGCAAGTTTACTGCTACTACATCTATGAAATTGAGCAATGTCCTCTATTTCAAACTAAGCAACTCTTATTCATTAACTCTGGCTTTGGATCATAATGTCACCTTTGCCTGAATTTTTGATCAACAGCCTTCCAAATACTGAGTTTTTTCCTATCTCACATCATGCCAGTTGCTTTACTTTTGAGGAGATAGCCTTTTTTAGTGTTTAAAAGTTTCAAGTTGAGTTTGGATTATTGATTCAATTTATTTTCCATCAATCTTTCAGGAGAGGCTGATCAAAGGCACTGGATTTGTGCATGAGACATTGGGTGCGTATAAGAACATTGAAGAACTATGGGATGGTGAGCTCTAAAATGGACATGAGAGTTGGAGATCCCATGATTTTATTCTCATTCGGTACTGGAAGGTCATTTGTCTTTGCTGCTGTAGCACTTCTGACGCAGAATGCTGCTGCTGGCCTTTAGTTTAAAGAAGTAGATGGTGTCTATCATCAATTATCATATTAGTTCTAATTAAGCTGCATATGCATGTTGTATTTTCTTTTCCCAGAACTCTCCCTATCCATTCCAAGGATTCCAAGTCCTAACTTGAAACTCTTGTATTCAAATGGATCGGTGGTTTGTTTTCCTAGCTTAATAATAAAGGGTCTGGACTTTTTTTTTTTCAACTTGCTTATAAACACATTTTTCCCTCACAAGTTTAAAAGGGTATTGGAGTGAAACACTATTTTTCCCATGTACAATGAAGAAAACCCTCTTTCATGCTATGTTATCACAATTAATATTATATTATTATTATAATTAATTTAAAAAACAAAATAATCACAATAAAAAACTTATTTTCAGGCTATATTATTACAATTAATATTATTTCATGTATACTCATATTTTCATATATTAAATCATATAATAAAACACCTAACAACATACTTACTCTCTAATGTATACACTTAAATAAAAAATTTTCAAAAATTACATCAATATTATTTTATTTAAAACAAAACAATTGAATTAGAAAAAA